CCTGGGTCCTCCCTGGCTTTGCTCCCCGTCTCCCTGGTCTGCTGGAGACCAACAGATCAGGGAGACGGGGAGCAAAGCGGAGCAAAGTCGCGAAGCATGCCAGCAGTGCGACAGCCGCGGCACGTCTGGGCTGTCCGCGTGCTCCGCGGCTTTGCTCCACTTTGCTCCCCGTCTCCCTGGTCTGTTGGTCTCCAGCAGACCAGGGAGACGGGGAGCAAAGCCGCGGAACACACCGGCAGCGGGACAGCTGCGCCGGGGTTTGCTGCCCGTCTCCCTGGTCGGCTGGAGACCAGCAGACCAGGGAGCCGGGAAGCAAAGCCTCTGAGGACGCCGTCAGCGGGACAGCTGCGGCGCGTCTGGGCTGTCCGCTGCCGGCGTCCTCAGAGGCTTTGCTCCCTATCTCCCTGGTCTGCTGGTCTCCAGCAGACCAGGGATATGGGCAGCAAACCCCGTTCGTAACTGCGGATCCGACATAAGTCGGATCCGTGTAACTCGGGGACTGCCTGTAATATATTTTGGGCAAGCTAAAACATAGGAAAGAAACATGAAATCAGAGAAGTTTATATTTTTGCTATCATCCTTCTCAACACTGCTTTACGGTTTAAAAGACACTTTTTACCTCAGTACAATATGCAACATCTGGACTATGGAATCTGAAAGAAATCAGTATTTATTATTGCAGTTAGCAATCATGTGCACTAAAAACCAGGGGCAGATGACCATTTTGCTGGGCCCCGGGCAGCATAATTCCGCGGTGCCCCCCTTTGCCACGGCGCATGCGCGGGGCTTTCTGAAGTGCGGGGCCCAGGGCAGCCGCCCCGTTCACCCTGCCATATATCTGCCCCTGCTAAAAACTATCCTAGAGGGACTGGTACAACTAACAGTTTAGTAGCAATTTTTTCAATTTGACAGTGTAAGTTATTCCATCTACCCACCCTCTATCAAACTGTATTTCACAGTCTTTCTAGAGGATTTTGGGCAAGATACTGTACCATACAATACTTACTTCCTTGTAAAATACTTTGAAAGCTGTGAGTGAAAAGGATTATAGAATATACCTGTGGATTATTAGGGGCTGGACTGCTTGTGAAATTAAGAAATTCTGAAGCAAGTTTCCAAAAAGCAGAATTTTAAGAATAATTGATGTATCGACTTCTAGAACATGTGTTTTATAATGAAAGAGCAGAGAAATCTTTTAAAAAGGGGTATAAACACAAAGTATGTCCGGAAAATAGACTATTGGCTGAGATCAAAGATGTTTCCATGGTTTCTTAGATTCCAGGAGGAAAAGTTTTAAAGTAAACACACCCCTACAACACTTACCTAACCACGTATCACAGCACTAAAAGTGATTTTTTCCCCCCATTAGCTAGTCAGAGAAATTGACATCATAAGTTATGAAAAGGACACCACGTTTTTTAAAATTTTCTATTTTTATAATGAATTTTTAGTAACATTGGTAAGGTTTGGGATTCCCTCCTTCCCCCCCACAATTTAATTTAAGTTAACTCATCTTTCCTTACAGTGTAGCAAACAGCATTGCCGTGTGTATTATACACTACAAATCACTACATTCTACACAGATACCATAGGCATCTACATTAGGAATACTTTCCTCTGATGATCTAATATCTGATCTGACTCCATGGTAACAAAAGTTCTTTTTGCAACTGTCTCCAAAAGGCATACCTTGACTTCACACAGTCCAGGTTCTGCAAGAGTGTGTATGCGCGAGAGCAGTGGTGGGGGAGGGGAAGGGTAAGAGGCTAGGAAAACTGTATATTTCGTTATTTTATATCCAAAAATGTCAATGCTTTTAAACACCTAATTACTGAAATAAGAGCTACATGGGCTTGCACATTGGGTATGGATGTGAATATCAACTGCAAATAAATGATTAATTATACATGTAAATTATACATTCACATCTCAGGTATGCTTACGAACAAGGATGCTGATCAGCCTTCTGTGATTAATTCCCTTGAGGCACAGCATGTGTGGGTGTGTGTGTGAGGGAAACAGAGTCAGAGGGCAACAACCTTCGAAGTGTAGCCCGAGATGTAAGGGAATGCCTGACATTTTCCCATTTATTTTTAAAATTCAGAATTCCAGTAGGGATAAGACCCTGCCAGACACAGAAGTAATAATAATAATGAGCTAACATTTACAAGCTGACACATTGCACACCAACGTTCTCTAGCACACTATACAGTGACTGGCTATTCCAGCAGTGACACAAGGGACGGAGAAACTCCTTTCTATGAAGGTCAGTCCCGTGTGCACACACCTGATGTTCCTGCTTCCTCCACTTCCCTTATCGGGGGCTGGGAGGTGCATGTTGGGGTGGTGGTGTCTGTCTGTTTTCAAGTCTTGCCATTTTGCACTTAAGGAATAAGGGTGACCCCGTTGTTCCCCCTTCCAAAGGGCAGTGCTGTCAATGATAATTCAAATCTGGAAACCCAGGTCAAGTTTCTGTGCACTTGTCACTGCTTTGCTTTTTTCACTATGGTGCCAACAGCAGAGATAACGGTGGTTTTGGAGCCGCTTGCACTGGTGGTTACTGTGACAACAGCTGGCAATGTTGCGGTGGTGGTGAGGATGGTGGGCTGAGCTATGGTTGTTACTGGGATGGCAGAGTCCCACTTACTCTTTCTCTTTTGAGCATCTGATTTGAACAAAATGAAAAGAGACCAGTGTTAACATTAATATTCACAGACCTTAACGATCCCCCTCATCATCCTCAAAGTGCCACTGCCTGAGTGGATGGCAATAACTTGGAATCCCAAAGGAAAACCTGAACAATCTGCACTGCTTATGCCCCTCAACTCTTAGAAAAGTGACATGAGGTTCACTCGCTCCCATATGTCAGAGTAGGTTTGGTTTTGACAAAAGACATGGCTCTCACCATTCCATTAGCATGAGGTCATGGGGTACAGCATTGACTGTTAAAGGGTCATTATCCAAATTACAACATCAATTTGTTCAGATCCTCCTCTCCCAACCCCTTCCACAGGATCTGGGGAAAGACCCATTCAAGAGACTCAACAGCAACAAATTCCACTAATCACAGCACAAAAGAAATCCTCTCCTTCCCGAAGTTACTGCCAAGCCTTCCTATCAGGGGACCAGAACGGCATTCCCCAATCCCAGATGACTAATATTAGTCACCCCAAGGCTACCACTATTTTCTTTTGACTGGTCTACACTACCACTTATGTCAAAGTAGCTCACATCACTCAGGGATGTGAAAGAGACACCCCATGAGCGATGTAAGTTACACTGACCTAAACATTGTCCACACTGGTGCTATGTGAGTGGGAGACCCTCTCCCGCCAACCCAGCTTCCATCTCTTGTGGAAGTGGAACAATTATGACAATGGGAAAGTGCTCTCCTGTTGGCATAGCCTGTCTTCACCAGATATGCCTCAATGGAGCAGCTGCAGCAGTGTTGAGTGGCAGTGTAGACTTGTCCTTTGTGTCAAGGGGATGGAGAAGAAAGGGAACTTCCAGAGTTTCTGGGTAGCACGAGTGGTGGTTTCCACAATTACGATGCAATCTAAGTTTGAGGTTATTGCATTACTTTACCTCCAACAGCAGTGCTGACTGTTGTAGTTGTGGTGGATGAAGCATTTGTTGTTGTGCCCTTCTTAGTGCCGGTTACAAATTCAATCTAGAAACAAAGGGGTAGGGAAAAGAAGAATAGATGTTAATATCTATGTCTTCTCTCACCATAAAGTTATTTTTAGCAAGGTATAAGAAAGAATGTAGGTGATTTTTTTATTGAATCAACTTCTGTAATAAGATATTACCTCACCTACTTAGTGTCTCATATATTCTGGGATCAAAACTGTTACAACACCTCAGAAAACAAAAACAATGTATCGAGCTATGCCAGTTAACAGTGTTATGTTGGAGAGAAAGACACATGGTCCCCACTCCAAGTACTACAAAATATACTTGTTATAGCCATTATGAAGATGTGTAAATATGAAGATTCTCCATATGTAGACAAATCAAAAAGTTTGGTACCATCCTTAGTGCACAGATCAGAACCAGGATCCTGGTCTGTACGGACACATTCTTACAATTGTTTCTTTAATGAGAAACGAAGACAGAAAGATAAAAGCTGTCCTAAAATGCAAGCCCCCACACGCATGGTTCACAGAGACTGCACTACAGAAGGAAACCTAGCAACCAGAGCCATAACAGCTAGCAATCACATACCTATGCGTCTAGCCATGGGAGATGAGGGGAACAGTCACAGATGACTATCCTTGTCCATAAAGCAAAACAAGAGGCAAACAAAAAGATGGCTATAAAAGTTTGCCATAAAATATACTTGTTGCTAAAAATGCATTCTATAAATATGAAGTGAGAACGCATTAGTTTACTCTTTGGTTATGATTTCCTAATGCTAGCCACTAATCCAAGTGCCTCACCATTTGGTGGGGATGATGTGAAGTCCTCCAGAGCTATCAAGTGTTTTAAATGCACTGACTCAATTTCCTAACAAGGGATGATATTTTCCGGTATTGAGAGGCCAATATGGGTCTACATACAGTCAGTGAAAAGAGATAATAGTTATTTAGAGAGTTTATCTTGTATTTGAAATACTGGCTGCAATTGTGTGTGCTCTGATTTAAGAACATTAACAAAACTGGATGATATTCAAGGAGGAAAGTCAATTGAGCCTGGAGAAAAACTGACCTATGAGGAAAGACCAGAAACTTAAATCTGTTCAGTTTGGCAAAGAAATGAATAAGATCATGTCAGAACCACCTAAAAATACCTAATGGTCAATACAAAGGGTAATACATGGAGAAATATGAAGCAATGGGAAGAAATCCAGCAAATAATTAATAAGGATAGGCCTCTAAATTCCATAATTCTTGAATTATTACCTTTGTACGTTCCTTCTTGGCCTTTTCCAGTTTGTCCATTTCAATCTTCTGTGCTTTGGCTAAAAAGGTTGGTAAAAATGTATAAAAAGCAGGAGATTCAGCAAAAGCAGTAATTTCTCCCCACAACATCCCCTCCCCAATCAATGAATAAGGCTCCACATACAGAAAACTACTGAATCAGCTAGGAAACACTTTTTTACTTTCTATCTAGGCAACATTCCACTAATCATTTCTTCAATCTCTTCACTGCAATCAGAGCCTACTTGCATCTCAGACCAAGATTTTTAAGGGAGGGGCTTTCCAAACTAATGGAAACTCAGGAAGTTCTAGATCTGTCTAGCCAAACTGAACAAGTGCCTTCACAGAACATAGCAGGCATGTTCAGACTTTCCATTAATTCAAAGGGGTGTTTAGTTAAAATATGGTAGCTAAAGGTCTAGCATGATTCAGTTGCAATGAAGGTATAAAAACTGCAGGAGTGATCAGAAAGAAAGATATCCTTAAGATTACCTAGAGCCTCATAGTAGGAATCTTCAGACCACCCATGAGGGTCAAACATGTCCTGAGAGAGAATAAGTTCAACATTACTTCAGGTCTGGTTTGAATAGGAAGACATACAAAACTCTTCAACATTTCACTGAGTAACAAACATATACTTCTATTAAAGTACCAAAAGGAAGAGTGGGAAATCTCCTTGCCTCTCTCCCATATCCCAATCAGCCACAACAGATTCATATACAGTGTAGTTGTAGCAGTACTAGTCCCAGAATATAAGACACAAGCTGGGTGAGGTAATTTCTCTTATTGGCTCAAAAGAAGTTATATCTTATTGGCCTGACATAAGCTAAGAATCTATAAAAACTGTGAAGCACACCTGCCACGGGGGTGGTGGTGGTAGTGGTGGGGGAGGTGTTACAGCAGGCATAGGCCAGCCTCCGTTGGGGGAGAGGGGAGGAAGCACCACCCAGCCCAGTTACATCCCTAGATGTGGACCCAGCTCCTGGCCCTATCCCTAGCATGCCTCTATACCCAGCTGGCTGCTATTCCCCATATGGCTTTGCTCCTGGTCCGGTCCTTGCTTTGTCCCCTAACTGTAGCTCCATTTTTGGCCCAGGGCTGAGGCGTGGTCAGGATGAGAGCCACACCTGGACATGGGTGCCAACCTGTTGGCCCCCTCTGCAGCCTGGCTGTAGCGTCTTCCCTGTCCCCAGCCTCAGTCCCTACCCTCAGCCACTCCCAGCTCCAGATTCACTCCCAGCTTTGGCCCCTTAGCCCATCCACATGCCCCTTGCAAGCCATAGCCCCATTCCCAGTCCATATCACAAAGCTACAGCTATTTGGGTTCACTATTACACAGAGCACATTTTATACTTCAATACAACTGGAGATCAAACTGCAGACAGATCTCTAGCTGACTATTTCAGTCATCAACCCTGAAGCACAAAGCCCTAAATGACTTTCCTGAGAACAAAGCTGAGAGCTTCATGTATCTGCCCTATCTCCCATGAAATCTTTTACTCTTCTTACCTTGGGATAATTTGTACCAAGTTCGTCGATTGCACAAAATTGGATCAGCTTTTCGTAGATGCTGAGAAAGAACAACCACCATTATGTTATTTCTACCTTTTCCCTTGTCCAATTTTAAGCTCATTGGGTTTGCTGGTATAAAGAGGCTGTTGCTCCTTTTCAATGGTCCAGGAGCAGAATCAGAGTGTAAAGAGTAACACTCTAAAGACACAGGAACACCACCACAACTTGCAAAGCATACCATAAACCCAGGTTATTCCTCCACCCAATGAGAGGTTCATCTCCCAACTCCCAACCCAAAAACCTGCCATCTACAAGTCATACCTAAAGCCCCACACAACTGGTTTTAAAATCTGTGTTTCAGTGGTGGTTACATGGCTCTCCAAAGAGTCTCATGCTCACTCACTTCTGATATGTTTTTCTAGAACCTCTTGCTGATTTCATGAGCTGTGACAGCATCTATTGCTGACATCCCCAATTTCTGATATGGTGCCAGTGGCAGGGAAGACAAGTTTTAGCATTTGTTTTCATGTGGTATTGCAACTCCAAAAAACAAAAAAACAAAAAACAAACAAAAACAACAACAACAACAACAAAAAAAAAAACTCACCTGGGATTACGAAATTCCTTCTTTCTCTGAATGATGTAGTTCATGTCCATACCCTCTTTTATCTTCCTATCGTACAACTTTTGAATCTTATCCTAGATAAAAAGGAAACAGTATATGAGCCAATACCAAGTAGTAGCATACAGGTAAGCTATATTCAATATGCACAAACACAGTTCTCTTATTTCTTTATAGTTAAACCCAGAGGGCATGTCTACATAGTAGGGCTAAAGTCTAATTAAGCTACATAACTTTACCTACATCAATTGAATAGCTAAAGTTGAAGTAACTTAATTCAGTTTTTTGCACTGTCTACACAGCAGGAAGTCAAAGGAAGCACACTCTTCCTTCAACTGTCTCACGTTCCTCGTGAAATGAGGGTTACAGGAGTCAGGGTAAGAAGTCCCCCAGCTTGACATTATTTCGAAATAAAGTCTTGTAGTGTAGACGTGCACTATGTTATTTCGGATTAACAACAGTTATTCCAAAATAACACTGCTGTGTAGACGTACCCAAAATGGCCCTCTCCCACCTTAAAACAGTAATTTTTCAGAGGCAGGAAGGCTGAAGTAGGCATATCATTTGGGATGAGAAATGTTGATGAACCAGCTAATGGAGTAGCTCTCAGCTCTTACTACATTTAAAAGGCAGAGGAACAGCAGTTGGACTGGCACAACTGGGGACTAAAACAGTCCCTGCTCATGCTGTTTTCACGCTGCGCCTCTGCCTCCCCTGTCATCCTCCACTATGCAGACAGAGGCAGCAAAGGGGGGAGAAGCAACTAGTCAAGTAGTGACTTAACTACTCGATAAGCCTAGGCTTATCAGGTAGTTCACTAGTCACCTACATTCCTAATTTGCGGTGACACGATCTCAGACTCAAAGATCACTCTCCATTCCACCCATGAATTCATTATATAGGGTGGGCTATCAAGCTCTTAAATGAGTAATGATGCCTCCCTGCTTTGTAGTTTCACTCAAGTCTTCCTGCAGCATCAGTGATGGCAGAAACAGTAAAGCAAAACAAAGCAAATTAAACTCCCAATGTGCTTGTTTCAGCTCCCAAGGAAAAATGGATTAGTCTGTGGACTAGTTTGAAAACCACTGAACTATCGGGGTGTACAATCTACATTTAAGAGTTCCAAAGAGTACCATTCACATTTTTTAGGGTTCTGCAAATGAAAAAAGTTTGTAAACCACTGGATTAGTCTCAAATTGTTTAGGTTACATTCAACATGCCAGCAACACGCTCGGAAAACGTGGAATAAATGAAGAGTAACTTTTAAAAGATGGGGGGGGGGGGGGAAGAAAGATTATTCAGAGGAAAATAATCCTCTGCCCCCACAATTTCAACACTTTCAATTGAGTAACACCCCCCCCCCACACACACACCCCTTCAAAATCAAAGCATTTGCCACCACAATATAAACAGGGGAAAGTAGGGGAAGCAAAGAGGTGAGCTATGTATCAAGACTGTCCACCCAGATAAGTACAAAGCTTATAAAGAGCTTTTAAAGCAGCCAGTAGCTTGACAAGGCCAGGCATTATTGATGCAATTAATGGATTATATACTGCCCTTAAGAATAGTTCAGCTTCTTAACAGAACTTGAACGGTCCCTTATGATTATGACCAATTCTGGAGATGGTCCACTTCCTAGGCTAACAGTGAAGCATTAAAGCCATTATCTTGGTCTGGAAAAGTGACACCAGAACAGAGACTGGTGTGTGGGCAGGGCTGGATTTCCAATTTAGGCACAGCAGGCACCTGTCTATCTGCATCGGCATCTCTCTAAAACTCAGTGCAACATGAATGTCAGCTGTAGGTGGGGAAGAGGGGCTGAAAATGCTGTGCCCAAGTGCTCCTAATGTATAAATCAGACCCTAGGAGGGGAGGCACAGCCAAAAGGTGAAGTTAGAGGGCTCTTTCACATGCCCTTAAAGTCTTTCCTCTTAACTAAAACTGCTCACCAATTTTAATTTATGAGGCTTTAGATTAACAGTGCAACTGAGATTCAGGGGTCACACAGAATTTTGTGCCCTAAGTTATTGAGACAATTGGTGATACCCCAGAAAGCAGACTTGGGAATAAGCAGCCAGCATCAATGCTCCTTTGGGAAGCCCTAAAATATAGCTCACGAGAGGACATGGTGGTGGGGTTAACAGTAGGGGAAGTCAGATGTATGCCTAGACCAGCCCTTTGCCTGTAGGCTGTGGCTCTGGGGCTGGGGCAGGCAGAGCCTGGGGCTGGCTCCAACCCGGCCTGGTGCAGAGGGGCACTGGGGAAGAAGTTCCCTGACCCCACATGCAGCCTGCAGGGAGCAGCCTGGGCCCCAGCGTGCCACGTGTGCTGGCCACCCAGTCCTGCCCCCTTCCAAAGCAAGAAGCCTGTAGCCAGAAAGGGGGAAAAAAAAATCTCTGTCAAATGGTTTTGATTGCGTAGTAATCTGTCTTGCTGCATTTTACCAGCTCTTAGGATGTTCGGTCAACCAGTTAACTGAAATTTCAGACAAATCCTTAGATTCAAAACTGAGTTGGTACCTACCTGTAGTTGATTGGAACACCTGCCTGGAGGTTCTGGTGGTATTTTGATTTCATCTGGAGACATATTTCTTACTCGCTCTGAGAAGGAGGCTGCAATGAAAGATTGGATATGAGATCTGGTATAGCAAGCAGTTTTTTGTCATAAAAACTCCTTTTACACTCTCACTGACACAATTCTGTCATTTTGACAATTCAGGATTGGAAAAATGGGGAGGAACCTACAAGTCAGTATCCAACAAAATGTGGATTTTGTGCTAGGGGCTTGAGACTAGGAGTTCTGCAGAATGGAGGATGAAGAACACGGTCAGAAATGTGCATAGAAAGTTTGTGCAGTACTTGCATTCACCTTGTTCTATGTCTGGCTCTGTCCAATGCTTAATCCTTCATTTTCATGAACACAAGAATTCATTTACATGTGCTGTGAAAAGCAGGTGGATTTTCCAACTATCAGCTAACTGCCCCTTCTATTCCAAAGCAGGCAGCAGTTTGGGGGGGGTGGAAGGAGGAAGAGCTCGGGGGAGGTAAATCAGATACAAATGGCTCTGCAAGTATAGGAACAAAAGCTGTTCAAAAGGCATTATTCTATTCCACCACTGCTTCACCTCTGCACCAAAACTATACACACCAATTATTTTACAATCTTGCTCTGAAAGATTCAGACAACGTGCTGTCTGTAGCCACGGTCTTCTTCCCCCTGGCCATCAGCATATAATCCCATGAAGACTGTCAAATTGTGTAAGTGAAGAACCAAAAGGAGGGACAACCTAAACTAGCGCAGACTACAGTCTGTTAGTTTTGAAAGGGATCAAGTTTTGAAAGGGATCAAATTTGGACTTATTTCAGGACACGTTTATACAGAAATTATGTAGGCTGAAAACAGGCACACAACAGTTGCTTAAGAGTTAGTACTCTCAGCTTTTACCCTCATCTTAAAGTTAATAACAGATGCTTTGATTTCTTCTTACTAGAAAGAGCAAATCATTGACACTGATGACAGAGCAGTACAAGTTTGACATTATTATTATAACTCGCAAGAGTAATTGAGACTGAAAGAGCAGTACTGTACAGGTTTGACACATTGTTACAAAGCTAATTTTTAATACTTGTGACTATTACTGTGGTTTCTGTGTAATGTACACATCTGAAACTTCAGTAAGACAGAACATCAGGCTCCCATGAAGTCTTACAACTTCATCTTTCAGCTAAAAAACCAGGGCTGAATCAACTGGGAATCCCTGGTGTCTCAGATTCTGAATGTGGCCATGTTTGAACTTTCTAGAATCAGTTCCCTGTGAAAATACGATAGCCATGAACTTGCTAATGAAAACACTTTGCACTAGCACCCACAAGCCATGTCACTCATATTTGTGATTCCACAGCCATAAGACATGCATCTGACGAAGCGGGTCTTTGCCCACGAAAGCTTATGCTCCAACACTTCGGTTAGTCTATAAGGTGCCACAGGACTCCTCGCCGCTTTCACAGCTCCTGAATGTCTATGTTAAACCCTCTTTGAATAAAGCCCAGAAAGGCTCCCAAAGAACAGACAGGATAAAATCTACATGGGAAGGCAAGATGGCATGGTAACACATAGCTAAGGCTGCAAGAACTCAAATTGCAGAACTGTGCAATCATCTTCAAATCATCTTCTGTACCAAATGACTGGAGGATAGCTAATTGACGCCATTTTAAAAATAGGGCTCTAAATGAGATTCTGGTTGAAACTATTGTAAAGAAGAGAGTTGTCAGACACACAGATTAACATAATTTGTTTGGGGAAAGTCAACATGGTTTCTGTAAAGGGAAATCATGCCTCACCAATCTACTAGAATTCCTTGAAGGGGTCAAGAAGCATGCAGAGTAGGGATGTCAATGTGTACTCATGTACATAATTAACTGATAAGGCTGGATTAATCAGTTAACCTGCATGGTTATATGCACCCTCCTTCCC